TCTGGTCGCCCCCATGACGAACGATTCCCGACGCTCTGTGACTCGAAGGGGACCGAAAATCGGGTCGGGGGAAGCTGCCGCGCCTCATTCCACCCCCTGGGGCTGCCCGTTTGCGTCGCCTCGCAATCGTCCGGATGTCACGTCTTTTCATGTGCCTCACCCACATGTTTGCGGACCTCAAAGCCACTGGGATCGTTGCACGTCGCTGCATATTCGAGGAGCGCGGGGCCCTCTAAGGTGGAGATTCCATCATCGGCCGCTGAAATGCTCGCACGAGAGACCGTCTCTTAGCTACGGATTACTGCAGCATTGCTTCATAGATGTGCTTGTTCAACGACGGCTCATTCGCAGCCGTAGCCGGTGGTGCCCCTGCAACTTGCGGCGTTTCTAATAGCGCTTCAGCGCATGGGAGCGGCCCCCAACTGAGATGGCGCGGCTCGTCCACGACGGGCTGTCCGAGGGCGTGTTCAAGGCGGAGAACGCGAAGGCCGTCGGCAACGAGAAGTTCCAGGCGGGCAGCTTCGCCGACGCGCTCGACTGGTACGACCGGTCGCTGAAGCTCATCGACGACGTGCTGTCGACGGGCGCGGACTACGAGCGCCACGCCAAGTACGGCGGGCCGGAGCTGCTGCGGTGCCACCGCAAGGCGCTGAAGCAGGCGCGCCAGCTCCAGGTGAAGGTCCACTGCAACCGCTGCAAGACGCTCGCCAAGGTCGGCCGCTTCGCCGAGGCGCGCGCGGCCGCCGCAGAGGTGCGCGCGCTCGACCCGGAGAACGCGACGGCCATCAAGGCCGGCGCCCACGCGGCCGTCGCCATGGAGGACGCCGCGGGGGCCGAGTGGGACGTGCTCCGCAACTACGCGATCCGCAACCCCGGCGACGTCGAGGCCGCGGGCCTCGTCGCGATCTGGGAGGAGGCCCGCGGCTACGCCGACGAGGAGGCCGCCGCCCGCAGCGCGTCGGCGTGACTCGACGCGTGGCATGTGTCGCAAGTTTCGAATAACGGATACATATGTGTAACATTAGAAACATCACAGGTCGTTCGGGAGCTGGACGCGCTCCCCGTAGAGCGACGCCGCGGTCTCGTCCGACGGCCGGACGCGGCCGAGCGGCGTCGTCGTCACGTAGGGCCGGATCGTCGCCCGGAGCTGCTTCAGGCTCGCGGCGACCGTGTTCGACTCGAGGCGGTAGAGCCCGCTGAAGGGCGAGTTGAAGTCGACGGCGAGCGCGTTGAAGACGACCAACGCGCCGACGATGAACGCGAAGAGGACGTGGACGCCGAAGGACGCGTCGAAGACGAGCGCGCCGTCGACGGTCACCGCGCCGAGCATGTGCGGCACGCGCACGGGCATGGGCCGGTCGAGCGTCAGGTAGGTGTAGGCGACGACGAGCGCCACGGACAGGGCCCGCAGCACGCTGAACTGCACGGGCGGGATGCCCGAGTTCTCGAGCGAGAGCCGGACGCCCCGCGCCTCCATGAGCCGCTCCGTCGTCTCGAGCGCGGACGTCAGCACGTCGTAGGCGCCGTCGCCGCGCCACTCGAGCTGCGCGCGCCGGAGCGTCGCGTAGAGCGTGCCCAGGTTGTCGACGGACGACGCCATGGCCTCGAGCTCGAGCTCGCGCGTGCCCGCGATGAGGTCCGTCGAGTGCAGCCAGAGCTGCTCCGCGCACTGCTCAAAGACCTCGACGCGCCGCGCCCGCGGCGGCGCCCCGGGCGCGTCGTCCTCGAGCAGCACGATCTCGAGCGTCTTCACGAGCGGCAGCATGAGCGTGCACTCCTCGACGGCCGCGCCGCGCAGCGCGCCGAGCCGCGACGTCGCGTCGGAGATCGTCGACGCCGTCAGCGTGCCGAAGACGATGGAGATCAGGCTAAAAAAGTAACCGCCTGGGCAGCAAAAGGGTGCGAAATTCCCAACTTCAAAGGCTCCTATCTCGGTCGTTTTCCGCTCGTTTCGGCTGATTTTTGGACGAGCGATCATCTCTCGGAGCGCTCTCGACGCGTGGATGCTGTTTCCGAAACGCGCGCGCGCGGAACACTCACGTTGAAGCGAAGTTGAATCACCCTTTTGCTGCCCTGGTAGCCGCCCTCGACGGCGTTCGGCGGCGGGATCTGCGACAGCACCGCGACGACGGCCGGGTACGCGAGGTACGCGGCGACGACGCTCACCGTGCGCGACAGCGACCGGTCGCCCTCCGGCGCGTCGAACGACTTGCTGTCGAGCGTGCCGCACTCGTAAAATTCTCCCGGCGGCGCGTAGGACCGCCGCGGCTGCGGCGCCTTGAGCGCGTTGGAGAGCTGCTCGAGGCGGCGCTCCGCATGGAGTCGTGCGCCTACGCGCCGCACGCGCCGCGGCGGCGCGGTGAGCGCCGAGGCTGTTGCAAGCAGAGCTAGCATCGCTGCTTGCGGCGTTCCCATCGTGTGCGCTTCTTGAGCCCCCTATTGCACTGCAAATGCCCTTCTCAACCAAATAGCTGCCCAGCGGCCGGACTGCGCCGGGGACGATGGTTTGCCGCTAGCGCATACACCCATGGGCCTCTTCGGGAAGAAGAAGCCGAAGGACGGCGCCGCGAAGGCGGACGCCAAGGCTGGGAAGAAGGATGCGGGGAAGAAGGGGGCGCCGGCCGCCGAGGAGTCCAAGGAGGACCCCAAGGGCGGCGGCAAGGATGCCAAGGACGGCAAGAAGGACAAGAAGACGCTCAAGGCCGAGAAGGCCGCGGAGAAGGCGAAGAAGAAGAAGGCCTACGACGAGCAGATGGCGCTCTTCGAGGCCATGGAGAAGGAGGGCACGTTCGTCGAGTGCTTCCAGTGCTTCGAGGAGGCCGAGGAGCGCGTCTGCTGCCGCGCGCAGCTCTGCGACCACTGCTACGGCAACACGGGCGCCTGCCCGTCCTGCGGCATCGCCGTCAAGGACAACCAGCCCATCGCCGAGGACCCGCGGACGAAGGCGACGTCCCTCGACGACCGCCTCGAGCTGAACAACATGGACGAGGCCGCGATGGCCGCGGAGCGCGAGCGCCAGCTCGCCGTCGACGTCAAGCAGGAGCTTCTGGAGTGCCGCATCTGTTTGAACCCGGGCGTGCGCCGCAAGTGCTGCGGCGGCTGCATCTGCGACAACTGCTACAACAAGAAGACGCACTGCCCGGCCTGCGGCAAGTCGGCCGCGAAGCGGGGCCTCGCGTCCTTCTCCCTGAACGACCCGGGCCTCTGGCCCGTGCTCTGCGGCTGGTGCCTGACGGCCTGGGTCCTGGGCCTCGTCGTCGGCGCCGGGTTCCTCATCGTCTACGTGGAGCGGAAGGACATGCGGACGCTCCACGGCTACACGTGCTACGGCTTCCTGCCGCGCTGCGACCGCCTCGAGTGCATCGAGCTCTACAGCAAGGCCAACGCGCCCGTCGCGAGCAGCGAGTCGCGGCCCCGGAGCCCGCTCCAGGTCGGCGCGAACGAGACGGGCTACCCGTCGGCCGCGCCGTCGTTCTCGCCGTCGCTCTTTCCCTCCCTCGCGCCGTCGCTCCGGCCGACGGACACCTTCGCGCCGACGGGCCTCCCGACGCCCAACGCGACGCTGGCCGCGAACGCGACCTGGGCGCCGTCGCCCGCGGCGACGGCCGCGGCCGCCGCGGCCGCGGACGCGGGCGACGACGGCGACCTGCACCTCGTGAACATGGCGACGTGGAAGCGCTGCGACCTCGACAGCGTCGTCAAGATCGTCGGGTCGACGTGCATTTTTGATTACGACCTCTGGTCCCAGAGCGGCCACATGCTCGGCTTCGACTTTTGCGTCGGCACGAACGCGCTCCGCCAGGACAAGCAGGTCGACGGCGACGAGGTGTCGACGGCGCGCTTCGCCGGCGGCGTCTACGTCTTCGACGACAACTTCGCCTGGTGGGGCAACGAGACGAGCCACAAGTCGAACATCCGGGGCAGCGCTTTGTGGGAGTCGATCGAGGGCGCGGAGGTCGACGACAAGTGCGGCGCGCACTCGGAGGGGGCGGCGCTCCACTTCTTCGGCAAGGATTTGCGGGAGGCCGTGACGAAGCCCCTGGACGTGCGCCACGGCGGCCACGTGAATCTGCGACTAAAGCTCGCGCCGACGAAGCCCGGCGACGACGCGTCGTGCCGGGGCAACTACGGCGCGGCGATCACCATCTACTACAACGTGGCGGACTCGCCCGAGTGGGTGCCCATCTCCACGTTGGAGGCGTCGACCTACGCCTACGAGGTCTTCAACTTGGTGTCGGCGAAGATCCCCGTGAACGGGTCGACGGCGTCGACGCGGTTCAAGATCTCGCAGCCGTCCTTTTTGCGGGAGCGGGACCACTGGGCCATCGACGACGTCAACATCTTCCACAAGTTCGAGTCCGGCTGGAAGAGCAGCGAGTGGTGGGGGAAGGCGCTGAGCGACGCGCACGACGACGTCGGCGTCGCGCAGTGCTGCTACGACACGGACCAGTGCGAGATCGCGGAGCCGGAGCCCGCGTCGACGCGGCCGGGCACCATGTTCCGCAAGGGCTGCGACGCCGTCTTCAAATTGGACGTGCCGTCGAACCGGCGCAAGCGCTACGCGGGGCAGCGGACGAACGGCGACCCCTACGTCGACCCCGAGGACGAGTCGCGGTTCTACACGCGCATCAACGGCGCCCACTTCTTCGTGTCCCTCGCCGGCCTCGCCCAGCTCTACAACTTTGTGTATTTCCTCGTCAAGGTCTACTTCACGCAGGGCGCCCAGGCCGTCTGGAAGCTCGTGCTGCCGGACGTCGTCATGAAATGGCTCGGCCGCGAGCGGAAGATCATGGTCGTCGAGGAGGACCCCGACGACCCCTACGCGGAGTACGGCGACATGGAGGTCGAGGAGGACCCGGACGACGCCCAGCTCAAGCAGGTCTTCGAGCTCGACGTCGACGGCGACTGGCAGCGGCGGTTCCTCGCCTACACGTGCGTGCCCTACGCGGGGGCCTTCTTCCTCGCGATGATCAACACGAACTACAACGTGCTCTACACGCCCGTGCACGCCTGGGGCGCGCCGCTCATGATGGGCGCGGTCTGGGTCGTGCCCGTGCCCAAGTTCTTCGTCTTCGTGCTCGCGGCGGCGCTCGACGCGAAGCCGTTGTACCTCGTGGCGAAGAACGTGGTCTGCGTGCTGCCGCGGTGGATCCACCTCATCCACCTCAACCTCTTCCCCGAGGTCAACGCGCTCATGGTCGGCTCCGAGAACGCGAAGGACGCGGCGCTGCACGTGCCGCTGTCCGCCATGGAGGAGATGAGCCGCTTCACGAAGCGCCAGTGCGTCGGCATGGCGTTTCTGTACGTGCTGGCCTGCCAGCCCTTCGCGCTCGTCGCCCTCGCCTTCGACAGCTTCAAGTTCGAGTACGACTCCGTGGACCGCTACGTGTCGGGCACGCTCGGCGCGGTGACGATCGTGCGGGCGCTCTGCGGCTACGACATCTTCATGAAGGCGGCGCTCGGGAGCGGTTTTCTGTTTTCCCAGAACTCGCAGCACCGGAACCAGATCGGCGACGCGGTCTGCGAGAAGCGGACGAAGTGGATCACGATCTACACGATGCTCTCGACGTTCCTCGCGGCGGGCATCTTGTTCCCCTCGGACGAGAGCGGCCACGTCCAGACGCGCAAGATCGAGATCTTCCAGGGCATCGTGCTCGTGGCCTTCGCGTCCTTCTTCTACGGCATGCTCGTGGGCTTCGTCCAGGGCCTGCCCGTGACGCCGTCCGTGCGCCTCACGAAGATCGACGGCGGCCTCTACTTCACGTTCCTGAGCCGCACGCACTGCCCCTGCTTCCACCACTTCCACGAGTGCTCCACGATGCACAGCAGACGGCAGATCATCGTCCTCTTCGTCGAGGACATCATGACCTTCATCGCGCGGCTCAAGGGCGAGGAGGCCGACGAGGACACGACCCAGTTCCTCCTCGCCGTCGCGTAACTTCGGAAAATCGAATTAGGCGGGTCACACCTCGCTCTCGCACATGTCCGTCGCCTCGACGGCGACGCGGCCGGAGAGCTTCCGCATCGTCGCGACGGTCATGAGGATCGTGACCGCGAAGAGCGCGACGAAGACGACGGTCGTGCCCAGGTGGCCCCGCAGCTCGTCGCGCATCTCCTCGCGCAGCTTGCCGATGGTGCAGAGGAAGGCGAGGCTCAGGAGCGTGCTGCACATCATGACCCACTCGAGCGCCGCGCCGCAGCCCCGCGGCGACAGCAGCTTCCGCCACCGCACCTTGCGCGTGATCTCGATCTTGTAGTGGTTGCAGCCCTGCTGCCGCCAGACCTTGGTCCCGGGCTTGATGGCGCCCCGCAGGCTCCAGGCCTCGTAGGCGAAGCGCGTCAGCGGGCCGCGCAGCTTGCCGCCCTCGTCGCGGAAGTAGTAGCCGTCCGTGCCGCCGTCGCTCTCGCCGCGGTCGAAGCGCTGGCGGTCCATCACTGCGGTGCTGTTGCGGTGTTGTTGTAGTGTTTATATCACGAGGAGCGGGGCAAACCGCCTCTCGGAACGGCTAAATCCGCTGCCATTGCGCCGGAGAGCTGAAAAGCCGTGAGTGCCGTCACCTTGCACACGACTCAGCTCGATCCGAGCGAGCAGCTCGTCAGTGCGCCTCGCGCGCCGTCGACGAGCGCCAAGGCATACATCGTCGCAAGCCCGGCGCCGCCGAGCGCAGCAAACAAATGCGGCTCTTCTACAGCGCGCTGGCCGTCGGCGCCGCCGGCTTGGCCGCGAAGCGGATGAGCACCGCAAAAAGGCCGGTCGTCACGGCGGCGGACCTGGGCTCGACCATGCTGCTGCCCGTGGCCGACGGCGCCGTGACCGGCGCCGCCGTGCCGGCGTCGTCGCTGTGGTCCAAGGCCGGCGCGCTCATCTTCGTCGTGCGGCGGCCCGGCTGACCGCTCTGCCGCGAGGAGGCGCGCGGCCTCAGCGAGCTCGTCAAAATCCGCGGCAGCCGGCAGAACTTCGTGGGCATCATCAAGGAGGTCGCGCCGACGAGCCAGGCGGCCAACGACACGGTGCTGGGCGTCGGCGAGTTCGAGCGGCAGTACTTCGGGGGCGGCGCCGTCTACCTCGACGAGGGGAAGCAGTTCTACGGCTTCCTCGGCGACCGGAAGCTCATCTCGACCAGAAACGTCTTCAAAGCGCTCGTGCGGCCGCTCAAGACCTGGCGGAGCCTGCGGGCCGTCGGCGACCGCATGAAGTCCAAGGGCATCGAGGGCAACATGGTCGGCGAGGGCCTGCTGCTCGGCGGCGTGCTCGTCGTCGACCGCGACGGCAGGGTGACCTACTCGTACCCGGAGACGACGGGCGAGCCCGCGCCCGTCGACGCCGTCGACGAGGCCCTCGACGCCCTCGACGACTAGGGGTCCGAAACCCCCCTCGCGCGCGCGCGCGCGGGCCGCTCCCATGACGGCGGCGCAAGACGACCCGCGCCGCGGGTCGTCGCGCCGCCCGAGCCGAGCGGGCCGCGGCGCTAAAGAACTTACGACGCGAAGAGGATGCGCAGCAGGTCCCGGGTCTGGTCGAACTTGAGGTGGCCCGCACGGAGGTTTCTCCCGCCCGCGTTCGCGGCGAGCATCGTCGCACCGGGCTTCCACTTGATCTGCGCCGGGAAGCGGCCGCTCCAGGCCTCGGGCACGAGGTCCATGGCCGGCGACCCGTCGGGGCTCATGGGCCCGAGGATCTCGTTCGTCGAGAAGTCGAGGAGGATGAAGACGGTCCGCGGGCCGATCGCGCGGCGCATCGTCGCCATCTTGTCCTTGGGCAGCCCGAAGAGGCGCCGGCGGAGCACCTCGGCGCGCGTCTGGCCCGAGCAGAGGAAGAGGAAGCCCGGCGCGTGGTCGCCGCCGTCGTCGTCGACGCGCGCGCCGACGTACGCCGCCGCGTCCGCCGCCGCCGGCGGCGGCGGCGGCGGCGGCGGCGCGGGGTCCGGCGGCGGCGCGATCTTCCGCGCGCGCTGCCAGCGCGCCGTCTGCGGCTCCGGCGCCGGCGCCGGCGCCGGCCGCGCGCGCGCGGCGCGGCCGAGCGCGGCGCCGACCTCGTTGAGGATGATTTTCCGGGGCCCGAGGCCGATGCCGATGTCGACGAGGTCCTGCTCGTCGCAGTAGCTCAGCGTCTGGAGGTCCTCGATCTCGTTCTCCGCGAGGACCGCCGCGTACTTGGTGAGCCGGTGGTTCGCGAGGAAGTCCTGGAGCCGCCGCTGCTCGTGCTCGGGGCTCAGCGCGTCGTCGAACTCGGACCCGAAGCTCCCGCTGCTGCGGCTCCCGCCGTCGCCGTCGGAGGGGGCCGCGGCGACCCGCGCGGGCGCCGGCGGGGGCGCCGTCTCCTTGCGACACGCGTGCAGCGCCGCGGTCAGCGACCTATCCGGAGGAGCCTCGGAACGGTCCGTCTTTAAAAAAAGGAGGCGCCGGCGCCGCGCGACGTCGTCGTCGGCCGCTGCCGCCGGCTCGCGCTGCGCGGCGTGCGCCACCCGCTCGCGGACCCGGAGCCGAGCAGCGCGTCCTGGAGCGACGAGCCCACGGAGGGCGCCGCCGCGGGCGCGGCGTCCGGCTCCTGCGATGCCGTGTCTCCTATCTTTTCAAAGAAAGACGACGCGGCGGGACGCGCGTCGTCGTCGTCGTCCCCGCCGTCGGAGTAGTAGTCCTCCTGCGTCGACGACGCCGACGGCGCGCCGCTCGCGGCGTCGCCGTCGAGCGCGGCCTCGAGCCGCGCGACGAGCGACGCCATCTCCTCCGCCGGCGCGGGGTCGCAGCGCACGCCGTTGCAGGTCTTCGCGCCCCTGCGCGGAGTCATCGTAGAGCCCCCGTAAAAAGGAGGCAAGACGCACCCGACGTTCCGGTTAAACGAGACCTGGAGGCCGCAGGTCGGACAGCTGCCGAGCTCCACGAGGCCCAGGCCTTCGAGCGAAGTCCGGAGCACGGACACGTCCATGGCGACGCCGCCGCGACCACCGCCGGACGGCCACCAGGAACGGCGCACGAAGCTCTCCGGGCTGCCGATCACACCCGCATCAGTGGCTAGTGTTTCTGGAAGCTTTGCTTTGGCTCGGATATACAAATCTAAATCTGCAACGATTCAGGTAGGCCCACCTTTCCTTATGCTCACCTAATCCTAGCCTTTCGCGGGCCGCGACGTCGAGGGCTGCCACAGGCCTGTTGCTCGCGGCTCCCCCCGCCCGGGGCGTGAGGCGCGGTTGGTCGTCCGGTCGGCGGCGGCGTGCCCCGCGCCATGGCGATGGGATTCGACCAGGGCTGGGCCATCGGCGCGCCGTGCTTCTTCAACGACGAGGGCCTGGGCTGGATCGAGGGCAAGGTGGAGAAGGTCGTCGGCGTGGGCCGGTCGGCGACGCTCACGCTCAGGTCGGCGGACGGCCGCGTGACGACGCAGCGCGAGGCGTCCGAGGTCGAGGCGGCGTCGTCGCGCGCCCTCGACGGCGTCGACGACATGGTCCAGCTCGACGAGCTCACGGAGGCGACGGTGCTGAGCACGCTGCGCGTGCGCTACCGGCGCAAGGACATCTACACGAACGTCGGCGGCATCCTCATCGCCGTCAACCCCTACGAGACCCTCGAGGCCCAGATCTACGGCGAGGAGCAGATGCACGCCTACGGCTCCGCGGACGCGGCGTTCGCGGGCATGACGCCGCACCCGTACCTGCTCGCGGAGGCCGCGCTCCGCGCGCTGGACCGGGACCGCGAGTCGCAGTCCTTCGTCATCTCCGGCGAGTCGGGGTCGGGCAAGACGGAGACCTGCAAGTACGTCCTGCGCTACCTCTCCTACCGCAGCAAGCGCCGCTACGAGCACAGCATCCAGGCGAGGGGCGACGGCAAGGCGAACGCGCTCGAGGAGTCCGTGCTCCTGTCGAACCCCATCCTCGAGGCCTTTGGGAACGCCAAGACGCTGCGCAACGACAACTCGTCGCGCTGGGGCAAGTACACGCAGGTCTACGTCCAGCCGTCGTCGGGCTCCATCAAGCGCGTCGGCATCACCGCGTACCTCCTCGAGAAGGTCCGCATCGTCGAGCGCGCCAAGGGCGAGCGGAACTACCACATCCTGTACCAGATGGTCGCCGGCGCCGCCGCGGCCAAGGGCAAGGACCCGGGCCTCGCGCTCACGAAGGGGCTCGGCGCCGACCCCGTCGCGCACGCGGTGCTCCGCGACGACGGCTACGGCAAGGACGACGGCGGGAACGCGTCCGTCGCGGCCATCGACGTCGACGACGCGGTCCAGTTCGCGGCGACGCGCGACGCGCTTTTGAAGCTCCAGATCGAGGAGACGGGCCTCGTCGGCGCGCTGAGCGCCGTCTGCCACCTCGGGGACGTGTGCTTCGACGAGGTCGCGGACGACCACGCGGACTCCATCGCGGCCGTGGGCAAAAACGACATGCGCAAGCGGGGCGGCGGCTTCCTGGGCATGGGCGGCGGCGACGAGAAGCGCCACGCCATCGACATCGCCGCGGAGGCCCTCGGCGTGAACCGCACGGAGCTCGAGGAGAGCCTGCTGAGCCGCCGCGTCGCGGGCGTCCGCGTGCCGCGGCGCGCGGCGGAGGCGGAGCACGCCAAGGCCGCCTTCGCCAAGGCCTTGTACTCGCGCGTCTTCGACTGGGTCCTGGCCCGCGTCAACGACGCTCTGAAGGCCATGACGGGCACGGGCCAGACGCTGCGGGAGGCGTTGACGGGCAAGAAGCAGCCCAAGGAGGAGCTGCTCACCATCGGCCTGCTCGACATTTTCGGCTTCGAGTGCTTCGCCCACAATTCGTTGGAGCAGCTGTTGATCAACTACGCCAACGAGCGCCTGCTCCGCGAGTTCAACAAGCAGGTCTTCGAGGCCGCGACGCGCGAGTACAACGCCGAGGGCGTGCCCGTGGGCGACCTGACCTTCCACGACAACTCGGGGTTACTCAATACCCTCGAGGGCCCGCGCGACGGCATCTTCGCCATGCTGAACTCGGAGTGCGTGCGCCGCGACGGCAACGACGCGAACCTGCTCAAGGCGATCGTCAAGAAGCACTCGCGCGCGCCGGGCGCGAAGCAGGACGTCAAGAAGGGGCCGGGCGTCTTCGTGCCCCAGGTGCGCCGGAGCTCGACGGTGGCCGAGCGGTCCACGGCGGGCAAGACCTTCGGCGTGTCCCACTTCGCCGCGGACGTCGTCTACGAGATCGGGGGCTTCGTCGAGAAGAATAGGGACCGCCTGCCCGAGGAGATCTGCTCCCTCGTGTCGACGTCCGACGCGCTCTTCGTCGCGGGCCTCTTCGCGGACGTCGACGAGGCCGCGGGCGAGGGGGCGTCGGGCGCGGCCTTCGCGGGCTCGAGCGCGGCGCGCGGCGGCGGCGCGGGCTCCAAAAAAGCGCAGCGCTACGTCGCGGGGTCCTTCGCGGAGTCGCTGGCGAAGCTGACGGGGCTATTGGACGAGACGGCCCAGTCCTTCGTGCGCTGCGTGAAGCCGAACCACAAGGCCGCCAAGGAGGCCTTCGACGGCGTCGTCGTGCTGGACCAGCTCCGGTGCATGGGCATGCTCGAGCTCGTGTCCGCGCGCGCGCGGGGCTACGCGGGGCGCATGGACCACGACATGTTCACGAGCCGCTACGGCATCCTCATGGAGGACGCCAAGGACGTGGACATGGCCGCGTTCGAGTCCGCGGACAAGGCGAAGCTCGGCGAGTTTTTGCGGCTTTTGGCGACGAAGAAGTTCATCAAGCCCGAGTGCCTGAGCAACGGCGAGATCGCCATCGGCAAGACCAAGGTCTTCCTCAAGCGCGGCGCCCAGAACGTGCTCGAGACCGCGCGCGAGGCGCGGCTCTGCGCGGACGTGCTTTTGGCGCTGGGCGAGGCGACGGCGTCGCGCGACGCGAACGCGCTGGAGCTCACGCTGCGCATCGCCGACGAGCTGCGCCTCGGCGAGACGGAGGAGGCGCGCCTCGCGCGGGCGACGCTCACCGACGAGCGCGCGTACCGCGAGATCGTCGAGGCCGCGGAGACGCGGAAGCAGGACCACGTCGTCGCCGCGCTCGCGGAGCACAACTTTCCGGTGGACGACGGCGCGGCGAAGAAGGGCAACAAGAAGGAGGACCTGCCCTTCGCCGCGGGCCAGTGGTTCTCCGGCGCGGAGTGGTCGACGTACGTCCTCGACGCCGTCAAGTTCGCGAAATGCGAGCTCGCGGCGCTCCGGTGCTTCGACGAGTTCAAGGACATGACCGAGGGCAACGTCGAGGCGCTGATCCCCAAGGGCGAGGCGGCGCGGGGCGCGCTCCTGGCCCTCGTCAAGGAGCGCAAGCCCGTGCCCGAGGACATCGAGAGCCCGCCGCTGCCCTACGACGCGCTCCAGCAGTGCGCGGACGAGCTCCTCGCCAAGCTCAACGAGGCCGAGAAGCTCGCGCGGCAGATCTCGGCGCTCAAGGCGCTCAAGGCGGCCATCGCCGCCAAGGACGCCACGCTCATCGCCGCGGCGCTCGCGGCCTACGACAAGCCGCCGAACGCGGCCATCGTCCAGGTCCAGATCGACGAGGCCAAGGACATCCAGCACGGCCTGGGCATCAAGGGCAAGATGCTGGCCCTCGTCGCGTCCTGCGAGGCCCTGGCGAAGCAGGCCGTCGCACCGAACGCGCACGCGGCGCAGGCGTACCTCGACGAGACCGCGGGCCCGCTCGACGCGCTCGAGGCCGAGACGTCGCTCGCGAAGGAGTTCGCCTGGCTCGCGCCGGAGATCGCGCGGGCCGAGGCCGTCGCCGCGCGGCTCACGAAGACGCGCGCGGACACCAAGGCCGCGGACGAGGCGCGCGTGCTCGCGGCCATGGCCGCCGAGGAGCGCGCCAAGGAGGCCGCGAAGCAGGCCGCGCTCAAGCAGGCCGAGGAGGCGAAGCACGCGGCCCTCGAGAAGCAGCGCCACGAGGAGGAGGCCGCGCGCAAGAAGGCCCACGAGAAGCACCAGGCCGAATTGCAGGCCAAGGCGGACGCGGAGGCCGCGGCCGCGGCCGAGGCCAAGGCCAAGGAGAAGGCCGCCGAGGAGGCCGAGCGGTTGAAGAACCTCCCGCCGCCGCCGCCGGGCGCCAAGGGCTCCTTGGAGAGCCTGAGCGAGGAGGAGCTCGCGCGCGTCCGCGAGCGCCGGGGCAGCAAAAGAGAGCGAAATTCCCAACTTCAAAGGCTCGTATCTCGGCCGTTTTCCACCCGTTTTGGCTGATTTTTGGACGAGCGATCATCTCTCGGAGCGGTCTCGAAGCGTGGGCGCTTTTTTCCCGGAACGCGCGCGCGCGGAACGCTCACGTTGAAGCGACGTTGCATCACCCTTGTGCTGCCCAGGCGAGCGCGAGCTCAACAAGTCGCGCTCGAAGCAGATGGAGGGCCTCGTCCAGCAGGAGGTCGCGGCCATCCGCGCCGAGGAGGAGAAGCTCAAGGCGAAGAAGCAGACCCTGTTCGTGCACATGCCCTGGAAGGAGCGCATCGAGCACCTCTGCGCGGGCACGCGGATCCTCAAGCTGTCGTCGACGTCGACGATGCAGGGCGCGGAGTGGAAGAACGTGCGTCTCGAGGCCCAGTCCGACGCCTCGGGCCAGAGCCTGCTCGCCTCGGACCCGACGTTCAAGAACATGCAGAGCCGGACGAACGCGTACCTCACGTGGCCGTCGAACACGCTCATCCGCCGCGGGTCCCGGAAGCTCGCGCTCGGCTCCATCACGGGCGTCCACATCGGCACGAACGCCAAGCAGTGGTGCACCATGGTGCCCACGGAGTGGCACTACATGACGCTGACGACGCGCGAGCGGTCCTACGACTTTGGCTTCGAGGACGCGACGGAGCTGTTGCTGTGGGTCAACACGCTCCAGCGCATCACCTTCCCCGAGTGGACCCAGCAGTGCAACGCGGGCGAGATGTCCGAGCTCTTCAAGGGCGCCATCTCCGACGCCCAGCACCGCTTCTACCGGTCGTCGCGCGCCGGCGCCGCGTCGACGGACTACTTCGTGCCCTCGCTCCAGGAGCTCTGCCCGGTGCTCTACCCCCTCGCGCCCGTGCTGTGCGGCACCTGCGCGGAGCTCGGCGTCTCCTTCGCCAACGCGGCGCCGCGCCCCCACAAGTTCTGCATGTGGACGGCTGTGTGGAAACCAACCACTGGTTCGGGTGGTCCTGACCAAACTTCAGAATTCTCTAGCTCGGTCAAATCGAAGTCGATTCGGCTGATATTTGGACGGATCGATCGCTCTCGTCGAGTTCTCGAAGCCCAGCTGAAGAGCTTGTGTCAAAACATTCGAATACGCGCACATTGAAGTCGGGTTGAAGATTTGGTTTCCACACAGGTGGACGGCCGTCGCGGTCCTCGAGGCGCCCATCGCGCACGACGAGGCCGTGATTTCGATGCGCGCGGTGCTCAGCGACCTGGGCTTCTACGCCAACGGCCGCTTCGCCTGCTCCGCGGGCTTCTACGACGAGAACGGCCTGGCCCACACGCTCGCGCGCGACGCGATCACGCACCCGAGCCTCGCGTCGACGCCGAACAAGAAGGACGGCGAGGCGCCCGACGACCCGGGCATGCTCGTGATCCGCGCGCAGCACGCGAAGACGGGCAAGGTCTCCGTGCTCAAGATCAAGAAGGGCACGAAGATGGCCTCCGTCTTCGAGGCCCACGCGAAGCACAAGGGCCTCAAGTCCCAGTCGCTGTCCGTGATGAAGAACAAGAACCAGGCCCAGCCCCCGGCCCCGCCCAAGTGACCCCCTCGAGCGACGCCACCCCCAGCCCCCGGGCCCCACACCGCGCGGCCCCCGACACCCGCTCGAGTCCTAATGACCGAACCTCGCATTTTTTACGTCGTCGCCACGTCAAGCCCGCCGCTGCTCTCTCTCGAGTCACAGGGCGGTCTTGAGCGTCCTGCGACAGGTGGGGCAGATGCTCTTTCTGCTCGCCCAGTCCGTGATGCAGACCTTGCAGAAGAGGTGGCCACAGTCGAGCGTGACGATCGCGGTGTCGGCCGTGAGCGGATCTAGGCAGACGGGGCATTCTGCTTCCTGCTCGGGCTCGGTCTCCTGGCGCGGCTCGTCCTCCTGGCGCGTCGTCCTGGCGCGTTTCCTGGGTGGGGCCGCGACCTTCGAAGATTCAGCGTCGGCCGCGAGGTAGGTCTCCTCGCCGACGTCGTCGAGATCGTTGCCGTCGTGCTGCGCCAGGAGCTCCTCCTCGCCGGCCACTGCCGCCTGCTCTGCGGCGGCCAGCGCGGGCAGCGCGACGGGCGGCGAGGCGTCGTCCGCGGGCGCGAGCGCGGGCGCCGGAGCTTGCTGCGGCGGAAGCAGATGGTCGTACAAGGCCTCGCGCACTTCGGCCCAAAGCCTGGTGTCGGAAGGTGTGGTTTGGCTCGTGATGAACTCCAGGAGAATACGTCTGCCCTGAAGGCGCTCGTTGCCCAGCGAAACCAGGCGCTTGCGCCACTCAGTGTGGCTGTCCCGCCTAGCTTTAAGGAGCGGGTCTCGCAAGCTCTGGAGCACCTTGAGACGTTCCGCTGCCGGACCTTCCTCCAGAATGCGTAAACATTTCCGCAGGTGGTTGACGGCCCGGGTGTGGCCCGACTTGGTGCCTCCCGCCATCGTGGCCTCCGAGCTCGAAGTTTGATGGATGTCAATGATACAAGCTAGCGCTGCCGAAATCAACGAGAGGTAAATCAAGATCGGTTGCTAGCGGTCGGCAGCCCGCGCGCCGCCCGGGAGCCCGTCCGTCCGCGCGCCGAACACCCCCCCCGCTGCCGCGCGCAGTACTAAGGGGCCAATTACGCCGTCTTGGGGGCGAGGCGGGTGAACCGGCGCGGGGCGCGCGAACGGGAGCCGGGGCCGCGTCCCCTACGGGATGGGGAGGTCGAAATGTCCGAAGTCGTGCGTGCCGGAGGCGAGGCAGTGGCCCACGAGGCAGGCGAAGTTGTAGCTCATCTGCACGTCGCCGTCGACGTGGCCGGACGGGTAGGTCATGTCCTCGAGGTCGACGCAAATCGACATGACGCTGACCGGGAGGCCGCCCGTCCCGTCGATGATCTTCTTGATCGCCGCGGCGACCTCGCCCAGGCCCGGGATGACCTCCAGGATGTCGAGGAGGCTCTCCTCGCTGAGACAGTAGTGGCCCGCGTCGACGGAGTATAAGGTGTAGTTCGCGGCGAAGAGTTGGTGCCCCGCGACGTCCGTGCCCTCGATCTCCATGTCGACGCCGACCGTGAGGTTCGCCGAGTCCCAGAAGATCCCGACGCAGGTGCTGTCGAGGACCGGGAGGTCCTGGCAGGCCTGCCAGAGGTTCGGCGGGAGCGGGTCGCCGACCTTCTTCGCGGGCAGCGCCAGCCGGGCCGACTCCACGGCCGAGGCCCACTCCGACGCCGAGATCCCGGCCTTGGCGAGGAGGGCCTTGTCCGCCTCGGCCGACCCGGCGACGGCGACGGCGGTCACGGCGGAGATGAGCAGCCCGCGGAACATTTTCGGACCACACAACACTACAACGCAGCACACGAGGGAGTTTTTTGGCATAAGTTTCCCCGAGGGCCCCACATTGACGTTCAACGAGCCGTTCAACACGAAGATGGCCTCCGTCTTCGAGGCCCACGCGAAGCACAAGGGCCTCAAGTCCCAGTCGCTGTCCGTGATGAAGAACAAGAACCAGGCCCAGCCCCCGGCCCCGCCCAAGTGACCCCCTCGAGCGACGCCACCCCCAGCCCCCGGGCCCCACACCGCGCGGCCCCCGACACCCGCTCGAGTCCTAATGACCGAACCTCGCAGTTTCCTTAGTCGTGAGGCGTGAGGCCTCTAGACGCGGTACTCGTGGTCCATATCTGACGATCCGATGTTTAAGAGGCAGCGGCTGCGGTTCGACGACGGCCTCGGCGATGGCGTCGGCGCGCTCAGACGTACTTGACGTCGTCGCGCTTCGCGGCGCGCGGCGGCGGGACGCGCCGGCGCTTGGCCGCGGGCTCGGCGACCTGGAGCGGCCAGGGGCACGGCGTGCCCGGCGGCGCGAGCGTCAAGGGCCGGTGCTTCTGGTTCATCTTGGCGTCCTTGGCCTTGTCCAGCGCGATGCGCGCCTTGATGCGCGTCACGTGCGGCTCGTCCATGGAGTGCGACACGCCCGTGTCCGCGTTGATCCACCACGCCGTCGTGAGGAAGCCGTCGTACGTGCGCAGCACGTGGTACTCGCCCGGGTCGCGCACGAGGACGACCGTGCGGTCCGCGGCGGCGTCGTAGGCCGGCCGCGGGCCGCGCGCCGTCTTCGACGGCGGCAGCGCCGGCTCCTTCGCGGGCGCGCGGATCGGGCTGCGCACCGCCAGCGGCTGCGCCGTCGTCATCGCGGCGATAAACACGGATCCCACGGCGTTGTCCTGTGAGAACAGGCCCGCGCCGAGGTACGTGTTGAGGATGCGGTCGCCGTACTTGCGCACCGCGTACCAGATGAGGCGCGCCTCCAGCGCGGACGCCTCCCAGGCCTTGTCCGACGTGACGAGCGGGATGGCCACGAGGGGCACGTCGTCGGCGGTGCCGACGTAGCGCTTCGTCGTCGCGCGCGTGCCGATGTCCGTCGCCTCGGCGGCCTCGTTGCCGAGGTCCGTGACGGCGACGGCGAAGGCGACGTCCGGGTTCTCCTCGCACCAGGCGTCGAGCCGCCGCTTGCCCTCCTCGAGGACCTCGTCCAGCGCCGCCTTGGCCGCGGCCGTGGACGCGTAGGCCTCGCCGCCGCGGGCCTCGAGGAGCGTCGCGCGGTCGTCGGCGACGCGGCGGCGCGCGTCCGTCATGGTCCCCGCGCCGGTCTTGAGCCACGCGCACTCGACTCTCTCCGCGAGGTCTTCGACGGCGGCATCGTCCGCGTCCTCGTCGTCGAGGAGCACCGCGAGCTCATCCGCGAGCTCCTGGTACGTCGCGTAGGCGGCGCGGCGCTGGCGCCCCATCTGCGCCTCGTGCGTGTCCTCCTCCGCGGCGGCCACCTGCTTCGCGAGCGCGGAGAGCTTCCGCTTCCGCGTCGACGGCACCAAACTCGCGTCGGCGGCGACCGCGCGCGCGTCCTCGCGGAGGTCGATGACTTTCTGGCGCTTGGCGTCGTTGCGGGCGTTCTCCTCCGCCGCGTGCGTCTTCGCCTTCGCGGCGGCCGCCCGCGCCGCGAGCTCGTCGACCTTCTGCTTCTTCGTCGTCGGCCGGAGCGTGTCGTCGGCGCGCGCGGCCTCGAGCTTCTTGTAGAGGTTGTTGCTCAGCGAGTTCTGCTCCTCGCGCTTGATCTGCCGCTTGCCGTTGTCGGTCGCCGCGTAGTAGTCGTACCAGTCGTCGTGGAGCTTCTTGAGTTTCTTGTCGCGGTGCGGCCCGGGCGCCGCGTCGGAGTTCTTGAAATCGTCGTAACGTTTCTTGCGCGTCTCGCACTCCGCGGCCTCTTCCGCGCGCTTCGCCACCTTCCGGTCCACTTTACGCTGCTCCCGCGCGGTGCGCTGAGGCATTAGACAGCAAAAACCGACGAGCGAGCGCGCGCACCAAGTTGCGATTCAAATTGAAATGAAGGCTCACACGATAACCTCAAGTTGTCGTCAAGTTGCCGTCCCGTCGGTTGGGCAGCCCGCCTCTCGTCGTCGTCCGGCGCCGCCATGCCCATCGCGCCGCTCCGCTCCAAGGTCGTGGGCAAGGGCGCGCCGAACCGCGACGAGTCCTGGGCGCTGACGGAGGAGCGCGACGAGGATCCGGCGTCGGCGCTGCTGTCGTCGCGGAGCTTCTACTTCGCGGAGCGCCACGAGACCATCGACCTCGAGGTCATCGACGGCGTGGACCTCGAGCGCATCGAGCGCGACGTCGACATCGAGGCGCTCCAGCGCCACCTGGAGATGCTCACCTACGGCGACCTGTCCAAGGCCGGGACGGGCGACGCGACGTTCCTCAAGATCTTCCGGCTCTCGCAGCTCATGGTCGAGTACCTGCTCAACGTCCAGGACATTTTGGCCGAGGGCCTGGAGCAGGTGTCGACGTCCTGCAAGGAGGCGAAGCGCCACCGGGACAAGTACCGCGAGAAGACGCGCGTCCAGGACGAGAAGATTAAGGCGCTGCGGTCGCAGCTCAAGGCGCGGCGGCAGACGGCCCAGGCCTACAGCGGCCTCGTGCTGCGCGAGGCCAACGCGCCGCCGCGCCACTGGCGCGACGACCCGCCGGCGCCGCGCCGGAGCTACGACGACGACGCGCCCGCGCCGCGGCGCGCGCGGACGCCCGACGACTACGAACAGCGGAACGAGAGCGGCGAGATGACGGTCTACGTGTCCGCGGCCGACGGGACGACGGCGCGCCACACGGTCGGCGAGGTGTCGACGGCGCGGGAGCTGCGGTCCAAGCTCGGCGCGCCGGGGCGCCTCGTGTTCCGAGGCAACGAGCTCACGCCGGACGTCGTCCTCGCGGACGCGGGCGTGCGCCACGGCGACACCATACTGATCGTCCACCGCGAGGGCGTGGACCGCGACGCGCGGGACCAGCGCCACGACCTCGACCAGCGCATCGCGACGCTGGAGTCGAGCATCAAGGGCGAGATGGCCGTGCAGGTCCAGACGCAGCTCGCGGCGCTCCGGGGGTCGCTGGACCCCTTCGGCGCGCCGAGCGCGTCGGCGACCTGGGCCGCCGGCTCCGTGCAGCCGGCGCCGGGCTGCCTCGCCGGGGCGCTCGAGGACGACGACGGCGACGACGACGCGTTCGCGTCCGTGCCCCGGTCGACGGTCGCGTCGGGCCCGCCGCGGACGCCGCACGCGGCCGAGGCGCCGGCGGACGTCACGCAGCTCCGGGCCATGGAGGAGCGGCTCAAGGCCCAGATGGACGCCCTCGAGGAGAAGATGCTGGGGCTGGCCCGGCAGCCGCGCGAGCCGACGCCCGCGCAGCCGCGCGAGCCGACGCCCGCCGAGGATCCGACGCCCCGGAAGCCGGCGACGCCGCCGCCGCGGGACCCGACGCCCCAGCCGACGCCCCAGCCGCGGCCGGAGACGAGCTGGACGCTGCGCTGCGCCGTGGGCTTCGGCGAGGCCGGCGACGACGTCGACGGGTCCGACGGGTCCGTCGACGCGGTCGTGAACGCGGGCGACGCCGTCCTCGACGTGCGCGCGGCCATCGCCGAGAAGCTCGACGTCGAGGTCGACCGCGTGGTGCTCACGGTCGGCGGCCGCGACGCCGCGGACGTGGAGGCGCTGCGGGGCGCGGACGTGCTCTGCCGCGTCTTGCGGGGGCGCCTCGTCGCGGACGACCAGGTCCGGGCCCTCGCGGACCTGCGGGCCGTCCTCGGCGCGGCGGCGGGCGACGCCGTGCCGCCGGGCTGCGCGACGGCCGCCGCGGGCCTCGAGGACGCGCTCGCCGCGCGGCAGGCCGCGTGGCGCGACCTGCCCCCCTCGCTCGGCGCCGCGAGCGCGCTCTCCCAGGCCGAGGTCTCGAAGATCGAGGTGCGGCTCCAGGCGCTCCACAACCTCGTCGAGTCCGTCGACAAGTGCCCGGGCTTCGACGACGACATGGTCGCCCGCCTCCAGGGCGCCCTCGCCACGGTCTGCGACGGCCTCCCGCCCGCCGTCGCCGAGGCCATCGCCCGCATCAAGGACCACGTCGAGGAGCGCGCCATGCTCCTGGCGGCGCGGGGGTAGTGGTCGGACTAAGCGTCGCTCCGCTAGCGGGGAGTGGTCGGCGTCTAGGGAAGTCTCTCGGCCGGGGCCCGGGCATTGAGGGGGGGAATTGGCCAAATTGGCCGGATTGGCCGCGTCGGACGTACGCCGTCGGACGGCAGCCAACCGCGATCGGACGATCGGACGAAGAGCCAACCGCGATCGGACAAGGACGAGGCCATTGGACGAACCCGCGGCCATTGGACGCGACCCCCGGCCATTGGACGTAAAAGACATCCATTGGCTACGATCTCGCGACGTTGTGGGCAGCGTCTGGGGCAGCCCGCTCGCGAGCGGCGACGGCCCGGAGCGCGTCGATTCCATGGGAGTGGCCAACGCCGCCCTCCCACCCGCCCAAGACCTCGACGCCGATGAACCAGAACTTCCGATCCGCGGACTGCCGCCGTTCTGCAGACATCGATCACTGCGACTGCGGCGCGCGTCCCCACCCGATTTTTGCAGCTCCGGATTTATACGCCTTCACAGGACATGGGAACAACACATCATCTCTGTGCGGTCGCCCTACGGCTGACTTGGGTTCGAATTTCTCCCACGCGCGCGACGACGACGACGGCGGCGGCGGCGGCGGCGGCGGCGGCGGCGGCGGCCGACCGACCGACCGACCGACCCCCAAAAGTAGGTTGCAAGGGCTTCGCCGGGGACCCGAAGGGACTCGCCCGGCACCTCCCCTAAGCCCCAATATTTTTTTTTTTTAATTTTACCCCCCGTACCCCGGCGCTCGAGACGGCCTCTCCGGCTGGTAGTCCTCGTACTAAGCCCGCGACGCCGCGCACCGTCGGTTTTTACGCGTCGGCCAGATCGGCGCGATCGGACGATCGGACGATCGGCCAGATCGGACGATCGGACGAAGCCCATCGGACGCACGGCCAATCGCCGTTGGACGTGGCCAATGGGATTCGGCCAACGCGGCCAATCCGGCCAATTTGGCCAATTCCCCCCCTCAACCGGGCAGCCGGGGCCCGGGTTCAACATGGTCGACCTTGCGTGCACCTTAAGCATTTGGGAAATGAAGCGCGTTCGGAGAACAAAAGCGGACGCTCTCTGTCCGCCTCGGGCAGAAATCACCAAACACAGGCAACCTCGACGCCCGCTAGACCTAGCAAAGACGAGCGTAGAACGGCATCCCACACACACACACACCGCACACATCACATCACCACCATGGACACGCAGTACCAGCAGCTCATCAGCAACGAGAAGGACGACGTCGTCGTCGTCGGCCAGCCCTACAGCCCGGCGGCCGGCGCCGTCGCCGTCGGCGAGCCCGTCGAGCACGTGACCAAGCTCTGCTTCGGCGACTCGGTGCGCCTCGCGAGCCTCGACAAGTGCACGCTCAACTGCGTCCGCGCGAAGATGGCCGAGTTCTACGGCCTCGTGGGCGACTACGCGCTCTACGCGCTCAAGCACGAGGACGGCCGCCTCGTCAAGCTCGAGAGCGACGCCGACGTCAAGGACGCGATCAACCAGCTCGACCCGGTGAAGATCGTCGCCGTCGCGCCGGAGGCCGTCACGGAGAAGAAGTCGCTCTTCGCCGCGGCGCCGGCCGAGGCCCCCGCGAAGCAAGCTCCCGCGGAGGCTCTGGCGGCGGCCGCCGCGGCGATCGCCGGCTGCGGCTTCCCGGACGTGACGCCGGCGGAGCTCGCCAAGGTCCTCGACGCGCTCCAGATCCAGCCCCGGCGCCTCCACAAGTGCAAGCTCGTCCGGAGCGCGCCGCCGCCGGCCTACGAAGCCCGGGCCGGCGCCTTCGAGGAGTCGAAGCAGGAGCCCCAGGCGCCCGATGCGGTCGTCGCCGCGCTCAGGGCGCGCGGCTCGCTCCTCGCGCCGAACTCGATCCACGCGGTCCTCCGCGCGCTCTGCGTCGCGCCGCGGCGCTTCCAGCGCCTCGGTCTGGCGGACGTCAATGCCGCCCGCGAGGCCTACAAGGCGGGCCTCGACGACGCCGAGCTCTCGCGGCTCGCGGCGCTCCCGTCGGCCAAGGCCTTCGCCGGCGCGCAGCGCCGGGCCGGCTACGCGCAGGCCTGGGTCCGCTGGGGCAAGCCGGGCTTCCGCCGCGGCGGCCGCCACGGCGGGCCGCGCGGCGACTTCCTCGAAGACGAGGGCTCCTACGTCGCGCCGCCCATGCCCCCGGGCGAGTTCGAGGGCGAAGACTTCCGCGGCCCCGAGGGCTTCCGCGGCGGCGGCCGCCCGGGCCGCCGCTTCGGGCCCGGCGGCCGCCGCGGCCCGCCCGGCTGGCGCGAAGACGAAGGCGAGGGCTGGCGCGGCGGCGGCGGCCGGCGCGGCGGCGGCTGGGGTCCCGGCCCCGGCGGCAAAGGCAAGGGCGGCGGGCGCGGCGGCGGCGGCGGCTGGGGCCGCGGCGGCGGCGGCGGCGGCTGGGGCGGCAAGGGCGGCTGGGGCGGCGGCAAAGGCGGCGGCGAGTGGGAAGGCGGCGGCGGGCGCCGCGGCGGCGGCGGCGGCTGGGGCCGCGGCGGCGGCAAAGGCGGCGGCGGCTGGGAAGGGGAGCGCGAAGGAGGGCGCTTCCCGTACATGGCCGGCTGGATGCGCTGGGCCAAGCCGGGGCGCCGCGGCGGCGGCCGCCGCGACGAGGGCGAGTGGTAGGCGCCGAGACCAAGACCTCAACGACACCACCTAAGACCACCATCCCCCCGCGCGCTGCCCCCCAGATCTCCCGTGGCGTCTCGCGCGAGACGCTCCCCCCCGCGGTTCACGAGAGACCTCATGTTAATAAAAACTCATACACTCGTCCGCCTCTGTTGGCTGAGGAGGCCGGCGAAGACGCCGCCCTCCTTGGCGGCGAGTTCGCCCGGAGCTCCGAACTCGGCGACCTGGCCCTTGTCGAGGACGAGGACCTTGTCGTAGTCGAGGAGCGTTTCGAGCCGGTGGGCGATCGTGATGACCGTGACGCCGGCGATGTCCCGCACGGCCTTCTGGACGATCTCGTCCGTGCGTCGGTCGAGGGACGACGTCGCCTCGTCGAGAACCAGAATCTTCGGCCGGCAGAGGAGCACGCGCGCGAGTTGCACGAGCTGCTTTTCGCCCGCGCTCAGATTCGCGCCGCCCTCGTCGACGTTCGAGTCGAGCCCGAGGTGGCCGAGGCTCGACGTCGCGAGCGCGTTTTTGACCTCGTCGTCGGACGCGCGCCGCGTCGGGTCGACGTTGTGCCTCAAGGTCCCGGAGAAGAGCTGGGGGTCCTGCTGGACCATGGCCAGGGCGCTCCGCCACGTGGCGAGCGGCGTCGCCTTCGCGGACTTGCCGTCGATGACGACGTCGCCGCCCTCGAATTCGACGAGGCGGAAGAGGCACTTGGCCAGCGACGATTTGCCCGAGCCCGTCCGGCCGCAGACGCCGACGCGCTCGCCGCCGGCGATGGTGAGGGAGATCCCGTCCAAGACCGTGGGCAGGTTCGGGCGGTACCGCATGGAGACTTTCTCGAGCGTCACCCGCCCGGCCGTCGGCCAGCTCCGCTCCGCGGGCGCGACGAGCGCGACGTTGCCCGTCGACTTGGCGTCGTCGCCCCAGTCCTCCGGCGCGACGTCGGCGATCGCGAGGCACCGCTCGAGGGACGTCGCGTGCTGCTCCGCCTCCGCGACGCCGCGCACGCACCAGTTGAGGATCCCCGAGACGGCCGCGGCGAACGAGAGCATGAGGCCCACGCGGCCCGCGTCGAAGGACGAGCCCATGCCGAGCAGGCCGTCGACCCGCAGCACGCAAAACAACGCGACGAGGCCGACGAGCGCCGCGCCGATCGCGTCGAGGCGCATGCCCATCCAGCGGTTCGCGCCGTTGTTCTTCAACCAGCACGCGGCCCAGTCGTCGATCGTCGCGTCGGTCTGCACCACGAGGCGCTCCGAGGCCCCTTGGAACGCGCGGATCGTCAATAATCCGTCCATGCACGACGCGAAGCCCGAATACACGGGCGTCTCCGCCATGTTCTCCAATCTTTTGAGCTCCCGCGACGACTTGCGGTAGAGATCGGCCATCTTCCAGTACACCACAAAGAGGGGCAGCGTCAACGGTGCGAGCCAGGGCACCAAGATCGCGCACAACACGAAGACGGACGCGAGCACGGCGAGCTGGCCGCCGGACGCGTTGAGCGACGTCATGAGCATGGCGTCGACGACGTTGATGTCGTTCCCGAAGCGAGCCAGGATCCGCCCCGGCGGCGTGACCTCGAAGTAGGCCAGGGGCGCCCGCACGACGGCGTCGAACGCCAGGCCGTGGACCTCGGCGGACGCGACGGCGGACGCGTTCACGGCCGCGAGCTGGTTCGCGACGACGAAGGCGACGGTGACGAACGACACGACCGCGTAGCCCGAGATGTAGTACCGCGTCTCCTTGACGTTCAAGCCGTCGTCCGCTTCGTCGTCGGCCTCGTCGGCCGTCGCGTCCGTCCACTCGGCGACCCAGGCCTGCGCGCAGACGGCGCCGGCCGTCTTGAGGACGAGGAAGGCGACGACCAGGAAGACGAAGAAGGTGCCGCAGAGCCGCGCGTAGGACCGGAGCACTCGCATGGAAACGGTGCCGACGACGCGATCCTCGGCCGCCGTCAGCTTGCCCGCGTCCGCCGTCGCGTCGTCCTTGCGCTCCTCGTCGACCTTCGCCGACGGCGCCGGCGCCGTCGGCGCGATCTCCCGGCTCGCGCTCGCCGCGCCCGTCGCGTCGTCGCTCTCGCCGCGGATGCCCTCGAGCGCGTCCGCCGCGTAGCAGTCGGCCGGCGTCCCGGCGAAGGCGACGGCGCCGCCCTTGAGCACGACGACCGTCGTCGCGCGGTCGAGGCACGAGAGCTGGTGCGACGCGAGGATCACCGTTTTATCGCCCAGGAGGTCGAGCAGGACCCGGTCGACGATGTGGCGGCCCACGTGCGCGTCGACGGCGCTGAGGACGTCGTCGAGCAGGTAGACGTCGGCGTCGGCGTACAGCGCGCGCGCGAGGCTCACGCGCGCCTTCTGCCCGCCCGAGAGCGTGATGCCCCGCTCGCCGATCTCGCTCCGGTCGCCGTCGGGCAGCGCCTCGAGGTCCGGGCCCAACGCGCAGGCGTCGACGCACCGCGCGTAGCGCGCCGCGTCGTACTCCGCGCCGAAGAGCACGTTCTCCTCGAGCGTCGCGTTGAAGATCCAGGGCGCCTGGGGGCAGAGCGCGACGCGGCCGCGCACGGCCACGGTGCCCGACGTCCGCTCGAGCTCGCCCAGCAGCGCCGCGAGGAGCGTCGACTTGCCGGACGCGACGGCGCCGACGACGACGTTCAGGCCTTTGCCCAGGCCGAGGTCCGCGATCCGGAGGGCGAACGGTGCCGTCGCGTCGCCGGGAGTCGCCGTCAGCGACGCGGGCCAGGCGAAGGCGCCGTCGACGACGCGTACCGTCGCGCCGTCCGTCGTCGAACGATCCACGTAGCTTTCGCACTCGGCCGCGCCGAGGAAGTCGTCGATGCGCGCCACGGCCGCGAGGCCCGCGACGACGAACTGGATCGTCATCGGCAGGATCATCAAAGGCATGCGCAGCTGGTTGAAGACGAGGAGCGCGACGAAGGCCCGCGACGCCGTCAGGGGCCGGTCCGGGTACAGGAGGCCGTAGGAGCCGAGCGACGCCAGCGCGCACAAAATGGGCACGGCCTCCATGACCGCGTTCGCGCCCGCGCCGAGCGTCTGCAGCCGCAGCGAATGCGCGAGCTCCGTCTTCCGCGCTTGCTTCACCGACGCCCGGAACGACGCCTCCCAGCCGAAGACCTTGACGGCGAGCATGGCCTGGACCGTCTCCTTGACGCCGCGCATCCGCTCGTCGGCCGCCGCCATGAGCGCGCCCTGCGCCTGCTTCATCCGGCCGACGATCGACATCTGCGCGGGCACGCCGAGGACCATGACGCCGAGGCCCACGACCGTCGCGAGGCCGATCTCGCGCGCGAGCCAGTAAAAGTAGACGGCCAATTGGACGGGCACGAAGACGATGTACAAGCACATGTGGTAGACGTGCTCGACGGCGCGCGCGTCCGAGTTCTGGAGGTTCAGGAGCTTGCCGGACCCGCCGCCGCCGCCGCCCTTGCCGGACATGGCCGCCGTGACGTGGCCGTCGGTCTTGGCGGAGATCGACGCGTCCGCGTTGCCGCCGCCGACGCCGGGCACGCGGAGGAGCTTGCGGAATAGAGCGGATTTCAGCGCCGACCGCGCGTGGAGGCCGTCGATCATGACGTGGTGGTAGAACCAGTGGTTGCACAGGCCCTGGAGCGCCGGGCACACGACCATGACGGCGACGGCGACGTCGACGACGCGCGCCGGGCCGAGGACTCGCCGCGTCGACCACGCCGTGCCGTCCGCGTCTCGCGACTGCTTGTGCTCCGCGTAGGTCACGATGGCCTTCACGGCGAAGATCTGCGCGTAGCCGCAGGCGTCGCCGATCGCCTTGCAGGCGACGCCCTTCCGCATCCGCGACCAGAAGACGGTCGTCAGGCTCGCCAGCGTCTCGCGGGTCGACGCCCAGCTGCGCTCGAAGGCCGCCGCGTGCCGCGCGACGCGGTCGTACGTCGGCGAAGCGCCGAGGTCCGAGCGCTGCAGCGGCCGCGCCGCGCCGACCTTCAGCAAGGGATAGAGCCAGCTGAAGAAGAGGATGGACAGCGGCGACGCCCGCCACTCGTCCGCGACCGATTCCGGGATCGACTCGTACTTGGTGCTCGCGGACATGGGATTAAGTCAGAGTCAACGGTGTAATTTGGGCTACAGTCTCTGCTGCGATCAGTTGGTGTGTTGCGTGCTGCGCTGCGGCTACGCGGCTGCCACTTGAATGCGATGAATGCGATGAGCCATACTTGCTCAAGCGCGCCAAAGATCACTGGCAATGAGGTTAACCTTTCCCCTTTTACGGTTGATTGCCGCGCCGAGGCTGCCCGGCTTCCCGGTGCGGCGCCGCTGTGTTCGCGGCCTCGACGTCGCCATGTTCCATCCCCACAGCCCCTCCGTGCGGCGCGACTTCGGGCGCGATGCCAAGTTCACCAAGTTCCAGACGGGCCGCACCTCGAGGACGGGAGTTTCCTCAGCGTCGAGCGCAAGCGGTCGACCTTCGTCAAGAAGCAGGAGCTCATGCGCAACGACGCCATCGTCATGGCGGCCATGGAGAAGCAGATCTGGATGGAGAACCGGGAGAAGGACCTCATTTTAAAACAGATCGGCGACCTGAAGGCCGCGCGCGACGCGCGGAAGCGGAAACGGTCCCGCGCCGCGCGCGCGGCGCTCGTGAAGCGGTGCCACGAGCTCGCGGCCGCGGTGCAAAAGTGCTGGCGCAACTGCAAGGTGCGCAGCGAGGCCGCGGCGCTGCTCCAGTACTACCGCGAGAAGCGCGCCGCGGAGCGGATGCAGGTCTTTCTCATGAAGCGGCTCCGGGGCCTGCAGGCGCGCCGCGACTACCGGCGGAAGAAGACGGCCGTCGCCGTGGCGTATCGCGTCGTGCGGAGCTTCCTGCTCGTGCGCCGCTTCCGGCGCGCGGCGCTCCAGGCGCTCGCGCGGCACCGCGTCGTCGAGTCGCTCGTCGGAGGAGGTCTCGCCGGGGCCGTCGCGGACTGTGCGTCGCGAGAGCGCTGCGCGATCCCGATCCAGAACCGGTGGCGGGGCCTCGCGGCCCTGCGCCACGTGCGGCGGGTGCGCGGGGCGCTCGCCGAGCGGCGGCAGCGGCGGCGCGCCGAGGCGGCGATCTACCGCGTCGTGCGCCAGCACCTCGTGCGGCGGCGCGTCCGATGGATGGCGCTGCGCAAGTCGAAGCTCATCGGGCTCCGGCGCTTCCGCGCGCTGCGGCGGTGCCGCATGCGCGACACGTGGCTCGAGCTGGCCGCGGACCTGGCCATCGAGAAAGCGGGGGACGCGCTCGACGCGACGCGCGCGGCCGCGCACAAGGCGCACTGGGCCGTCGCGCACATGAAGAATCTGATCCAGCACGACGCCGAGCGGCAGCAGCGCCTGCGCCACGTCGACGCGGAGCGGGAGCGGCGGGAAGCGGCGGGGGAAAAGGCCGAGCTCGGCGTGCCCGGGCGGACGCTGGGCGATCGCGTCGAGGAACACGTGACGCCCGAGGAGCGCGATCGACGGGATGCGGAGAAGGCCATCGAGCTCGCGAAGCGGCACGAGCTGACGCTGAAGCGCGCGGCGGAGGCCAAGGTCGAGGCGGCCGACGCGCGGCGCGAGGCGAAGATCGGCGAGCTCAAGGCGCAGATCCGCCGCAAGTCGCTCGCGGCGCTGTCGGCGAAGGAGGACGAGGAGCACGAGCGGCAGCGGGCGCTGCTCAAGGCCAAGGCGACCGTGGCCAAGCACGAGGACCGGCCCAAGCCCTGGGTCGCGGGCGGCGCCGTGCGGCGCGTCCACCGGCTCACGGACGACGTCGTCCCCGTGCCCGCGATGACGGAGCACCAGTTCGCCTACATGCCGTCCCTGCGCCGGAGCTCGACGCGGCTCCAGGCCGCCGTGCGCTGGGGACGGGTCGCGTCGCTGAGCCCGAGCTCGTTCGCGGGCTCGCGCGCGCTCGCGGTGTCGTCGCCGTCGAACCGCGCGGGGCAGGCCCGCGGCACGCTCGCGGCGCTGACGCTCGGGAAGCGCCTCGCGGCGAAGAAGCGGGCGGCGGAGGAGGACGAGGTGGTTTAAACTGCAACGTAGACTTCAAGGTTAAGATCCGAAGGCGCGTGGGACGATCGATCGACACGAGCCCGAGTCCCGGGGTGTACGGCGTCGCGTCCACTGCGAGATAGGCAACTAGCGGTGGCTCCCTTTTGCAATGCACGGCCTGCTGCTCGTCGCCGCCACGGCCGTCGGCCTGCGCATTCCCGCGGCGCTGCGCGGACGAACGCTGACGCGCCGCTACACGACGACAAGCGACATCGCGGAGCTGCGCCGGGAGATTGAAGTGCTCGAGGACGACCTGCTGCGCGACCGCTGGGCCCGGGCCACGTCGCAGCGTCCACGGCTGCCTATCAGCAGCCCAAAGCAGCTCCATACGCGCGCGAGGAAATTAAAGCACGAAGGTTCGCTGCCGTCTCCGCCCTGGAAAGTAGAGCATTTCGCCGCACTCTGCGCACCGCACACGACACGGCTGGGCCCCGGGAGGCATCCCGGGGCTGTCGCGCGTCGACGCGCGCATGCATATGCACCCTTCGCTGTGTCAAATTTGTCGACCAAAACGAGGCTGCCGACGACGACGACGCCCGGCGCAGCATTCGACCACAACACGACAGACGCGACAAGCGCTCGACCACACGCGACAGACGCGACCAGCCATGCCGCCCTCCCTCGACTACAGCAAGTGGGACAAGCTCGAGATTAGCGACGACGAGTTCGAGGGCACGGGCCCGCCGCCGCCGCCGGAGCCCGAGGACGGCCCCGCGCCGCGCTTCGAGAACCAGCTCGACGCCCGGCGCGAGGCGATCCGCGTCGAGGTCGAGGCCGCGCTGACGAAGAACGACGACTCGCGCGGCGGCCGCGACGACCGCGCGCTGATCGCGTACTTCGTCGCGGCCCAGCACCGCGACGACGGCGCGACGGACAACCGGACGCGGCACACGCTGATCATCGACCTGCTGGCGAAGCGCGAGGTGCTGACAAACGAAAAAACGACGGTGGCGCTGTGCGGCGTCGCGCGGGACGCCCTGGATGCCAAGGAAGAGCTGCGGGGCAAGATCGCGATCGAGGCGATCAACACGATCGAGGCCGCGCGGCGCTACAACGGCGCGCTGGCGCTCTTCGAGGCCATCTGCGCGCCGGCCGACGACCGGTCGAAGGCGCTCCTGAAGGCCTACGCGGCGCACACCTTCGGCGAGCTCCGGCTCAAGCGCTTCGTCTTCGAGAAGGTCGACTCGGCCGACATGCGCACGGCGATGCTCGAGCACGAGCAGGAGGTGCTCAAGGACATCGACCCCATCCCCGAGCCGCGGCCGCCGCCGCGGCCGCGCTGCGGCGGCTGGCTGCCCTGGATCTGCCTCATGACCGTCGTCGGCGTCGGCGCGCGCCAGGGCGCGACGCACCTGCCGCGCCTGCTCGCGGTGCCGGCGCTCCTCGAGGGCGACGACGGCGGCTTCGGCGAGGTCGAGGTCGGCGGCGGGGCGCCCACGACGGCGGACGCGTTCCCGGACGCGGCGGCCGCGCCGCCGGAGGGCGCGGCGGCCGTCGCCGTCGCGGCGTACGCGCCGCCGGCGGACTTCCCCGGCGTCGCCCTCGGCGTCGGCGACCGCGTCGCCGTGATCGACTGGGACGCGGGCGCCTCGCCCCGCGGCGACCCCTACGCGAAGGTGCGAACAGCCGACGGCGCGGAGGGCTTCGCGCCGCGGACCGCGCTCAAGCGCGAGGGCGCCGCCGCCGCCGCCGCGTTCCCGGACTTCCCCGACCTCTAGGGCTGTAAAAGGCGGGATATGGTACTACCACGGGTCGCACTCAGAGATCCAAACACACTACACTTCAGCACGCACACCGGCAGCGGAGGTCCGCGGCGTCGCAGGCGCGCGTCGGCAGATCCTCGCCCCAGCGCCGGTTGGCGCCGCAGTGGCGGCAGGTCGCGTCGTTGGCGACGCGCACGACGAAGGGCCGCTTGTGGGTGTGCTTGCTCCTCGGCGGGCGCAGGTACTTCTTCCGGCCCTTGCCGAGCGGCCACGGGCGGACGCGCGGGATCTCGCGGTCGTCGTAGATCTCGCGCGGCGGCGGCGGCTGGAGCCGCTTGTAGTACTCGAGGGGCGCCTCCCGCTCCACCACCGGCGGCGGCGGCGGCGCCTCCGCCGGCGGCGGGTCGCGGCGCGCGTAGACGTAGTCCGTGCCGAAGCTGTACGCGCCCGGCTGGTAGTGGTCGTCCATGCCGGGCACGCGGAAGCCGTCGTCGCGGGAGATCCACGCCGCGCGCGGGACCGAGAGCGATCGCAGGACCGGCGCGCGCTCCAGGTAGACGGTCTCGCCCGCGCGCCCGTCGTCGTACGCGGCGTCGTCGTCGTCGTAGTAGGGGCGCTCGTAGACGTAGTCACAATCACCCTGCTCGAGGTAGACGTCCTCCTGGTCGTCCTCGTAGTAGTAGTCCTCCGGGACCGGCCGCCGATCGTAGTAGTCCTCCGGGACCGGCCGCCGCTCGCGCGGTCGGCCGACGAGGCGCCGGGGATCGTAGTCGCTCTCGTACTCGTAGTAGGCCGACCGCCGCGGCGCCTCGTCGCGGTGGTGCTCCGGATGGTGCCGCACGCGGTGGTAGGTCACGTAGGCGTCGTCGTCGTAGTCGTCGTAGTCGTCGTAGCGCGGCTGGCAGCTACAGTCGCGTCCCATGCTCTCTCTGATGTCCGTTGAGAGCGCCGTTTTATTAGGATTTGTTCGGATATCACTGAAATCTTCTAGTAGCCCTATTTTTTGGGTCCCGCCTCGCCGACGAAGGACCAGAGCGCGGCGTCGTCCTCGAGCGTCGCGTCGGCCGCGCCGTCCGTGGAGTCCTGGCGGTCCGGCGCGTGGCGCTTCGGGAAGAGCGCGGCGATCTGGGGGTCGATCTTGCAGTCGCTCAGCGCGCCGAGTTGGGGCTGCGAGTCGGCGATCTTCGCCGCCTTGTAGGGCCCCGCCTTCTTCAGGGGGAGCGTCTCGTCGGCGGCGAGGCGCTGGGCCATCTTCTTGACGGTCCAGACGAGCTGGCCGAGGCAGAGGAGCGCGTAGGCCTCCCACTGCGTCGCGCCGACGGCCTCCCGGCCCGCGGTCGCGGCGATGACGACGATGAGCACGTCCTTGGTGTAGCCCACGAGGCAGTAGGCGACGGCGGAGAGGAGGCCGATGATGAGGTTTTTGTTCAGGTCCAGGCACACCGACAGCGCGACGTCCGCGACGACGGCGAGCGGCGACACGCCGGAGGCATTCGCGACGAACTCCGGGTCCGTCCACTCCGTCGCCAGCGCGTACGTCGCCAGGAACAGCGTCGTCGTCGGCGCCATGACCGCGAGCATGGTCACGGGGTCGATGCGCTCGTCGCCGGGCCGCTGCATGAGCAGCTGGATGCCCGTCTGGTAGAGCGCCGCCGTGACCGTCGACACGGCCATGATGGCCAGGCCCGCGTAGGTGACGCCGTCGGGGTCGATCTCCGCCTTGCCGACGGCGACGGCCGTGACGGCGCCCGTGATGACGAAGGCGTTGAGGAGCTTCGCGGCGTTCGCGCGGCCGTCGATGCCGAGGCCGAAGGAGAGCACGAAGAGCATGATGCCGTTCACGGGCTTGAGCATCTGGATGAAGCCCACGTCGAGGTAGCGGTACACGAGATTCGACGTGAAGAGGTAGACCCCGAAGAGCGCCGCGAGGGGCAGGACCTTCGTCGCCCAGAGGCGCAGCGACACGGACCCGAAGAGCCGCCTGCCGCGCGCGGCGTTGATGGAGCAGGCGACGACGGTCGACGCCGCCATCTGGAGCGTCGTGAGCGTCGCCGCGTAGGGCGTCTCGGACATGACGTAGTTGTTCAGGAACGTGAGGCCGATCAGGTTCGCGACCGTCGCGACCATGAGCAGCGCCTCCGCCGCGGCCTGCCGGAACGTCGCCGCCGCGCCCGCCGCGTCGGCGTCGCCGCTCGCCGCCGCCGCGACGCGCTTCGCGACGCGCTCGAAGGCCTCGAACTCGACGGCGAAGAGCCGCGCGCAGCAGATGAGCAGCACCCACAGCAGCACCTTCGTCGCGTACCAGACCCAGTCCTCGTGCAGGAGCCACTCCGGCGCCGCGGCGAGGTTCGTCGCCGCGTCGCCGCCGCCGCAGGCGAAGCCCGCGTAGGACACGGGCGCGCAGGCCTTGTCGAAGCAGCCCGTGTCGCGGAGGTCGTCGTCGAGGCCGAGCTGGATCGACTCGTACTTGCTGCACCAGGAGCCCGGCGCCCAGGCGCTGTCGCGGAAGTTGTCGTACCAGTGGTCCTGGGCGTAGTAGGCGTCAAAGTCCGCGTCGATCTGGGCTTTTTGCGCGTCCGAGAGCTCGACGCGCGCGCAGTCGTTCCGCGCGGTCCGCGTCGCCGCGTCCTCTTTAAAGGCCACGATGAGGTCGGCGACGTCGTCCTTCCAGGCGTCGTGCCAGGCGACGACGGCCGCCTGGAGCCGCGCGAGGTGGTCGTCCGCGTCGTCGCGGTCGAAGTGGTACGCCAACAGCCCCGGCAGCTCGCCCCAGCTCTTGACCGTGAGCCGGAGGCCCAGGCGCTCGTAGTAGCCCACGGGGTCGCTGCAGCCCTTGAAGGACGGCGGGTTCTCCATGATGGGCACGGCGCCGTACTCGAGCGCCTCCACCGCGCAGCCCGCGATGTACTCGTCGCCCGCGGGGCACAGCACGAAGATCGAATCGCCGAGCATCTCCATGTAGTCGAGCCCGTAGACCGTGTCGTGCGTCGTCGGCTCGTCCGAGAGCTCGTTGAAGAGGTCGAAGATGTACTCGCGGCCCCGGAGCGCCGAGGACACGCGGTCCGCGCTCGACGAGAAGGTCTCGAGCAGGTCGACGCGGCTCGGCTTCCGGTAGCTCGTGTGCTCGCTGATGGAGAACGCGAAGCGCCGGTCGCCGACGTCGCGCGCCTTGCCGACCTCCGTCAGAAACTCCGTCGAGTCGTACTCGACCCCAAAGGGCATGAGCGTCGAAAAGTCCATGACGCCGTTCGCGCCCGAACTCGTGCGGATGGAGTTGTGGATCGTCCGCGGCACCTTGGACTGGCAGTTCCAGTCCGACGCGTCCAGCAGCGTGAGTGGGATGGTCTCCTCGAGGAGCGTCAGCGCGTTCGGCGCCGCGAGGAGCGCGTCCTCGGTGAACGTGTACGCGCAGCCCTTGTTGACGGCGTAGTCGCCGCCGGGGATGGCCCGCGACGCGACCTCGGCGCGCACGGCGTAGACGACGACGTCGCCGGCGGCGTAGGGCCGCTCGTCCGTGAGCTCGTCGAGCGCGTTGTAGGGCACGGACGCGAGCGCGTAGCCCCGCTTCTCGACGTAGGGAGCGACGAACGTCAGGAGCATGTCGAGGCCGATGCGCGAGTCCTCGTAGCCCTTGATCGCCGGGTAGAAGACGTTGATCGTCTTCTTCCCCGGGTCCGCCGCCGCCGCCGCCGTCGCGGCGACGGCGAGCAGCATCGCGACTGGCAGCATCGTCATAAGACGGGCTGCCTTCCCGAAGGTGCCGCAAGTTCGATGCTTCGTAAAAGCAACATGTTAACACGAGCTGCTTGCTGTGCAACCGACTGGAAGGCCGCCGCCATCCGCGTCGTCACCAGCGCTTCCAGCCCGCGCCGTCCGCCACCCGCGTCGTCGCTAGCGTTTTCCAGCACCAACCAACGCCGCTCGTCACCAGCGTTTTCTAGCCGATGGCATCCTTCCCGGCGCTGCGCCTGCTCGCGACGGCGCCGCTGCGCGACAACTACGGCGACGACTGGAAAGCGCTCAACGCCGAGGTCACGACCCTCAACCTCGACGGCACGATCGCCGGCGACGACGGGTCGACGGTCTTCGACGGCGCCTTCATCAGCGCCGAGGCCTTCGCGCTCTTCTTCACGCCCGGCAAGGGCAAGCCCGCGCTCTGCGCCTTGTACGACGCCGTCGGCGCGCTCGTCGCCGCCGGCCGCGTGAAGTGGGCGCACCTCTGCGCGAGCGGCTTGGACGTGCCCATCTTCTTCAGCGTCATGCGCGCCTGCGTCGAGCGCAAGGCGCAGATCACGCACTGCCCGGGCGTCTACGGGCGACCCATGGGCGAGTACGTCCTCGCGCACATGCTGTCGATCAACCGACGCCTGCCGGAGCACGCGGAAAACCAGCGCCGGAAGGTCTACAAGCCTTTGATGCAGAAGGAGCTCACGGGCTGCACCGTCGCGATCGTCGGCGCGGGCGGCATCGGCGCGGAAGTCGCGCGGCTCTGCAAGGCCTTCGGCATGCGCGTCGTCGGCACGCGGCGCCGCGCGGCGCCGGCGCCGAACTTCGACGCCATGATGCCGGCGGACGCCGGCCTCGAGGCCGTGGTGGACGGCGCGGACTTTGTCGTCGTCGCGCTGCCGCACACGCCGGCGACGCGCCGCTGCGTCGGGGCTTCGGTGCTGGCGGCGATGAAGCCGGACGCGTGGCTCGTCAACGTGTCGCGCGGCGGCGTCGTCGACGACGCGGCGCTGTTCGCCGCGCTGAAGGACGACGCGGGCATCGCGGGCGCGGTGCTCGACGTCTTCTCCACGGAGCCGCTGCCGAGCGAGTCGGAGCTCTGGGACCTGCCGAACGTCGTCATCACGCCCCACGACTCCTACAAGACGACGCGCGCCGCCGTCGACAACCACCGGTATTAAATCGACAACGTCGCGCGCGTCGCCCGCGGCGAGGCGCTCCTCGGCGCCGTCGCCGCCGAGTTCCTCAAGCCCGCGGTCGAGTCCGCCGGGAGCACGCCCGACATCACGATCAAATAAGGTTTACTTGGCGAGGCCGGCGAGGGCCGTCTGGCGCTTCTCCTGGAAGCCGACCAGGTTCTTCGCGAGCGTCTCCTGCATGGCGCAGACGTCGTCGTCGACGACGAAGAAGCGGAAGCCCTGGGGGATGGTGCCCTCGAGGCCGCTGTTCCAGAAGCCGCCGATGACGCCGGAGGCCTTGCACGCCGCGGCGACCTTGCCCACGGCGGCGCCGAAGCGCGGGTCGCCCCAGCAGGCCGGCACGCCGCACTCGCGGCCGAGGCCCATGTCCACGGCGAGGTCGCCGGGGCCGATGAACGCGATGTCCAAGCCGTCGACGGAGCAGATCTCCTCGACGTTCTCGAGCGCGTCCTTGGTCTCGATCTGCACAGCGACGACGACGGTGGGGTTGCCGTTGTGGACGTAGTCGAAGAGCTTGCCGAAGCCGCCCGGGAGCTGGGGGCGCAGGTTCACGAAGACGCTGCGCGTGCCGCCGACGGCGCCGCGGCCCGACATGGGGTATTTGCAGCACGACACCGCGAGCTCGACGTCGGCCTTGGTGCGCACGCACGGCACGAGCACGCCGTCGGCGCCGAGGTCGCAGGCCTGCTGGATGCCGACGCGGTCGTTGTGGCCACCGACGCGCACGAAGGCCTTGGCGCCGCCCGCGTGGCAGGCCTGGAGCAGGTGGCGGAGCGTCTCGGGATTCACCGCGGAGTGCTGCGCGTCGATGAGCAGGAAGTCGAAGCCCGTCGCCGCGCAGATCTCCGCGACCAGGGACGACGAGCTGTTGACGGCGCAGCCCATCATGGCCTTGCCCTCCTTCATGCTCTGGACCCAGGCGGCGTTCGTCGACTGCGGCGCCACGAAGGGCGGGCGGTAGCTCAGCGGCGGCTCCTTGCCATCGGCGAAGGCCGTCGTGGCCAGCGTGGAGGCGCCGACGCCGACGACGGCGCGGCTCGCGTAGCGGAGCATGGCGTGCATGATTGTTGGTCGGTGGTCCTCGGCGTCGTCGGCGTGCGACGAGGTGGATGGATTGTCGTCGGCGTCGTCGTCGGCGTTTGTCGTCCGGGAGCTGAGGTGGATGGATGGCGGGCGTGAAATGCTACGGCAACTTGACACGGGCTTCGAAGGGAAAGGTGCTGTCACGGTGTGATTGAAGTCGTCATTTCTACCGTGGCACGAACTCGAAACGAACATTACACCCCGGAGGACGCCTACCCGTCCTCCAGCTCCACGGACAGCCCGTCGTAGACGCCGAGGCCGTACATGTTCTCGAGCGTGTCGTCCGCGTTGCCGCCCTCCGGGTCGAAGAGCCAGGACATGTAGTCGTAGAACTGGTAGGCGTTGGCGTAATGGCCGGCTGTCTGCCCCGTTTTGTTTTGATGATTGGGATTGGCGCCCTTGTTGATGAGGATCTTCGCGATCTTCTCGTTGCCGTTCTGCGCGGACCTACATAATAAAATTCGTGACGACTATTCGTCGTTTTCCCGGTCAAAATCTCTCGAAAATCGTCGCGGTCGCAGGACGCTGGCGCGGACGTGAGCAGCATGGAGTTGCCGTGTTGATCCACCTTGTTCAGGTTGAAGGGTTCCCGTTCGTAGGCGTCGACGTACGCCGTCCCAAAGTCCTCGACGTAGGCGACCTTGACGATGGACGGGTCGAAGCGCTTGTTCGGCAGCGACGCCAGCGCGTCCTTGAGGCGGCCCGCCTTGCCGTGGCGCACGAGGGCCTGGATCTCGTCGAAGTTGAGCACGACGGGCGCGGCCTCCGCCGCGGCCTCGTCGCCGCCGCCGCCGCCCGCGGGCACGAGGGCCGTCGACGTGCCCGTCGCCGCGCCCTCCGGCGGCGCGCGCGCGTACGTGTCCAGGGGCATCTGCCCGACGCCCGCGCCGCCGGGCTGGCCCGTCGTCATGAAGATGCGCATCTGCTTGTTCCGCTCCGTCTCCGACGCGCGCAGCTTGTTCGTCATGTTGAGGATCTTCTTCCGGTGGAGCCGGTGCTCGATGCCGAGCGTGTTCCGGAGATCGTCGTCGTCCAAGTCGTACAGGAACGCGCCGTCGACGGCCGCGTCGACGAAGGCCTCCCGGTACTGGCCGAGCGACAGCGTCTGCAGCCAGCGCGCGACGTCGTCGACGCTCCAGGCCGACACCTTGAGCGTCTCCTGCCCCGGCATCTGGCCCGGCTTGAGCGACGGCTTGAACATCTCGCCGCCGGCCTTGTCCTCGTAGGGCATGTTCGCCATGGCGTTGCCGCCGCCGCCGCCGCCGCCGCCGCCGCCCTGGGGGCCGCCGAAGCCGTTCTGGTTCGCGTGGAGGGCCGCCATGACCGTGTCCTGCGTCGACACGGTCCGCATCGCGCGGATCATGTTCAACCTGGGTGATTCGTCGTGAGTTTTCCGCGCGCGAGCGTTGCAGAAACAACATCCATGCTTCGAGACTCTTCCGATAGATGATCGCTCGTCCAAAAATCAGCCGAAACGAGTGGAAAACGGCCGAGATATGAGCCTTTGAAGTTGGGAATTTCGCTCTCTTTTGCTGCCCTGCGTGGAACGAGGAGAAATAGGTCATACTCATGCTCATGAAGCCGAACTTCATGAGCGTCTCCGTCGACTGCATGAGCTGGGCCGCCTGCTTCTTCTCCGCCATGGACGGGCCCGCGTAGCCCGCGCCGCCCTCGCCGCCGCCCGCGCCGCCCGCGAGCGCGATCGCGTTCGCGTCGCCCGCGCGCGCGTTGTCGAGGAGCTCGCCACGCGCCTCCTGGCGCCGCCGGATCTTGTGGAGCTCGCGCTGCTGCTCCTCCAGCAACACCACCAACTTGCGCTCGAGGGTCCGGAGCTGCTCCTCCTTGCCCTGGCGCGCGTGGTCGAGCGTCGCGAGCTTGCCCTCGAGGCCGCTGAGCTTCTCGCGCCGCTCGGCGATCTTCGCGAGCATCGCGCCGAACTCGCGGTCGAGGCGCATCTTCTGCTCCCGGAGCTCGTACTTGGCCTCCTCGTCGAGGACGCCGACGGCCTCGGACTCGATGCGGCTGAGCTGGTGCATCTCCTTCTCGAGCTGCGTGACGCCCTGCTCGAACTCGCTGATCTCCTCGAGGAGCGCCTCGACGCTCTCCTCCGCGGCGACCTTCTCCTGCGTCAGGAGCGACACCTCCGACTGGAGCCGCGTCGCGTGGAGCTTGTGCTCCAACAGCATCTGGCGCCCGAACTCGATGCCCTGGGACTGCGACTTGGAGAAGAGGAACTTGTGCCGCTCGTTCTGCGCGCGGCGCCGGCCGAGGTGGCCCCGGTAGACGCGCTGCATCGCGCGCGCGGCGAGCACGCGGTTCCGCAGCTCGAAGGTCGCCAGCCGCGCGCACCGCGCGCGCCAGAGCGTCTGCATCATCGTCGCCGCCTTGTTGCGCCGCCGCTGCATGCGCTGGACGAGCATGCGCGCGAGGAACCCGCGCGCGCAGCGCTGGAGCTGCGCCGACGCCGCGTGCATCGTCTTGAGCAGCGTGAAGAAGCCGCGGCCCGCGTAGCCGCGCCACGCGCGCTGGATGACGTGCGCGGCCCAGATCTGGCGCATCTTCACCAAAAAGGCCTGGCGGCCGCGCCAGCCGCGGTACGCGCGCTGGATGCACGTCGTCGCGCGCTCCTCCCGGAGCCTCCGGACGACCATCCACGCCAGATGGTTCCGGAACGCGGCCTGGATGACGCGCGCGCTGTAGTCGAGGCGCTGGAGCCGCTTCCGGTTCCGCTTGAGGCGCCAGCCCATGTACTCCTTGACCTCCGGGTAGTCCTGGGGCGTCGGGTAGATGCGCGAGCCCTGGCCCATCGCGTAGACGACGTTGTCCTGCCTTTCAAAGGCCGGGTTCGCCGGGTCGAGCACGGTCTTCAACGCCTGCTCCTTCTCGCGCTGCCAGGACTTCTTCGCGTTGACGATCTTCTTCTCCTCGACGCCCTGGTTGCGCTGGTCGAGGCTGTGGCTCGTCCGCTGCGACGCCGTGAGCTGGAAGACGTTCCATTCCGGGTCGTAGGTCGCCGCGTTGCGGCCCTTGCTCTCGCGCACCTTCCCCAAGACGTTGTCGATGAAGTTGTCCTCGAAGTTGCCGTGGCCGTCGGGCACGACGCCGTCGCCCTCGAGCTTGCCCTTGAGGTGCGTCTGGGGCACCGTCGTCTCCGTGCCGCCGGGCGTGCGCACGACGCGCTTCCGCGACTCGTCGGCGGCGGCGTCGCCGTCGGCGAACTCGGCGGGGACGAAGGCGACGTCGTTGAGCTCGTGGTAGCCCACGAGGAGCTGCTCGATGAGGATCGACACCTGCTTCCGCACCTCCTGGAAGAGCTCGTGGCCCGACTTGACCCAGATGACGCAGGTCCGCCGCGACTTGAGCGCCTGGTGGATCGTCGTGCAGGGCTCCATGCCGTTCTCCGCGTCCGTCCACGACTGCGCGTGGCTCGGCTTCACGAGCACGCCCTGCGTCGAGTGCACGGTGATCACGGGCAGGTCGAGCGTCTTGAGCATGGGCCGCACGTCGTGGGAACTTAGAGCACCGATACACAGCTGCATGCGGCCCTGGAGCGTGATGGGGTTGTGCACGGCCGTGTAGAGGTTGAGCGCGAGCGGCGTCGACACCTTCGTCAGGTACTCGCGCGAGAAGAGGAACCGGCTCCAGAAGTAGACGGGCAGGTCCGGCCGCGACGGCGGCGCGCAGGAGAAGACGTTCATGGCGTCGTGGAGCGCCCCGGCGAGGTGCGGGTCCACGAAGGAGAAGCCGTTGAAGAGGCAGAGGCCGCGGCACGCGGGCGCGCGGTAGTGCGTCGCGAAGAAGGACGCGATGGACGCGCCGTAGCCGTAGCCCAGCAGGTAGAAGGGCCGCTCGTCGTCGAACTGGTTCGTGCCCCGGTGGCCGACGTGCGTCAGCAGCTCGTTGAGGCACGACGCCATGAAGACGTTGTTGAGCAGCTGCTCCTCGCGCCACTCGGAGAAGGCCTGGCCCGGGTAGTTCCAGAGCAGGACCTGGAGGCCCGGGTAGCGCGCCGCGATGGGCGCCAGCACGATCTTCAGCCGCTCGAAGGTGTCGAAGAAGTCGTGGCAGACGACGAGGTTGAACGTGTTCGCCTCCGTCGCGCCCGGCGGCCGCGAGCCGTCGCTCGCCAGGCTCAGGTCGACGACGCAATACGGCAAAGCCGTGTCCGCGTCGAGCTGGAGCATGCCGCCGACGGAGCCGTCGACGGACGTGAAGGACGCGGGGAGGGCCAGCGACTTGGCGGCCATCGCGGACGAGCCCGTCGCGCCGGACGTGCCGAACGCGCCCGCCACCAACGCCTTCGCGCCCGAGCTCGCCTCCTCGCCCGTCTCGACGGCGCCGTTCGACGCCGTCATCGTCACGTCCTCGATGGCGTGGCGGCCCCAGGAGTCCTCGTCGACGAGCTGGGACCGCGCGCGGAGCGCGCGGACGAACGCGCGCGCCTGGGCAGGAAAAGAGAGATTCAACGTCGCTTCAACGTGAGTGTTCCGCGCGCGCGCGTTTCGGAAAAAGCGCCAACGCTTCGAGGCCGTTCCGAGAGATGATCGCTCGTCCAAAAATCAGCCGAAACGAGCGGAAAACCGCCGAGAAAGGAGCCTTTGAAGTTGGGAATTTCGCTCTCTTTTGCTGCCCTGGCGCGCGCGGCCGCGTCGTCCGCGAAGTCGACGACGCGCAGCTTGACGACGACGCTCCCGCCGGAGACGCCGTCGACGACGACGCGGCTCGTCGCCACGCCGAGCTGCGTCGAGATCTCCGCGCAGAAGGCGTTTAGAGTGGCCGTGTCCATGTCGTCGGGCGTCATGCCCTGGACGCGGAGCGCGAAG